ATAATAATGTCAGAAGGTTATCTTATGTTCTTTTAATCGTCTTATATCCATGAATGTGTGGGTGGCTCAGCTGCTTCTCTAAATGAAAACAATGATCACCTTCCCAATGTCGCTAAACCAGAGGATATTTGAACTGCTAAATGTACTCAGTGGGTTGATTTACTAAAGGAACAGAGACTGCTCACCTGGAGAAAAGTATTTTACTTTGCAAAGTGAATAAGGTGAACTGTGTACACTTTGAATAGCCGATTCTATGCAAGATAAATGTAAAATGGGATTTTTGCTTGTGCATGTGATTGGGTATTCAAATTAAACAGAGCAATACCTTATTCATTAACATATAATATGCAAAATAAAAGGCACTATCCAATGTAAAAATTCACAAAAAAGCCCAGTAAATCTAAAATATACAACTGAAGGAACCATTTTCTTTTGCCCACTTTTTCCATGTATTCATTGCAGTATGGAAGAATGACTGTTGGAAGCTGGTTGGTTGCTATTGTAATAGACAAGTGTTCTTCCCTCACTTTCATGTGTAAGGCCTAGTTCACACAGGGAGATCACATCCCCATCTCATGCAGGTCTGTGTTTACCCACACAGGGATGTACAAGTGTGCAGGGATGCAGCAGCTGCACAGACACAGCCACTTCTCCTAATCTGACATCTGTGTGAGTGCAAATGCATGGCCCTGATGCAGCCAGTGTGAGTTCAGGGACTTGCACCAACATGGATGTCTAATTAGGAGAAGCAACTGTGTCCCAGAAGACATCAATTGGACTAGACAGTGCACTGGGATGCACTAAACATGGCCTCACCCAGGGTACACATTGGTATTCCCCATGTGAACAAGGCATTATCCCCTTTGCGCTGGCACCTCCCAGCCCTTTAAGAGGTTTCAGAAGCCGGGAGGCTGGGCGGGGGTCTTAGGGTCATGTGACTGCCGTGATTCGCTGACCTTTCAGTGAGTCACGGACATATGTGCTGGGAGCGCGCAGGGCATGCGCTCTCAGCACATCTGTATATTCAAATGGTACGCAAATATGTGGCAGCTCGGTGTCGAGGTCCAGAGGCCGCATATTTGTGTGCGCTCGGCGTCTAGGGGTTAAAGAGCAAGCTGCAAAATGATACTTGCTTGTGATGGTTATTTTCTACATGTATTTATCAGCACATACTTAACCTGTCATGACACATGTCAGGACCTGTCAAGATGTTCTAATGTACTGTAGCTGACCACCTAAATATGCTAAGCGTTGGACTGTATATTGTATCACTGGGATCAGTACTTTCTGAATCACTGATCCAGAACAGGTATGCAGGACAGAAAAGCTAGAAGTCCTTATCTGTATACTTCTAAGGCAATTACTCAAAATATTTAGGGATGCGTACATCAGGACATCCAGACAACCATATTACAGAGGGTAGGGCCAACGTCATATTTGCCTTATGGTAGATTTTTTATGCATTGACCTTGAATCAAAAACACAGGGTCCACTGCTTGCACAAAAGCAACAGCATAAATCTCTTTAGCTAGCTTGTGTATTGGGAATTAGCTTTTTTTATAGTAACAAAAATGCTAATTGATCATTATAATGTTTCTTTAACCACTTGCCCTCCTGAGGATTTACCCTCCTTAATGACCAGGCCTCTTTTTGCTACTCGGCGCTGCAGTAGTTCAACTGATAATTGCGCGGTCGTGCGATGCTGCTTCCAAACTAAATTTACGTCCTTTTTTCACACAAATAGAGCTTTCTTTCGGTGGTATTTGATCACCTGTGCGCTTTTTATTTTTCACGCTATAAACAAAAAAAGACCAAAAATTTTGAAGAAAAACGATATTTTTTACTTTCAGCTATAAAAACTATATAGTAAACTCAAAGTTAGTTATAAATTTAGGACAAAAAGTATTTTGTTACATGTTTTTGGCAAAAAAAATCCCAATAAGTGTATATTGATTGCTTTGTGTGAAAGTTATAGCGTCTACAAACTATGGTATAGATACTGCAATTTACGCCATTTTTTTGCTATACAGTGCTGCGCTAGTTTAACGGACAATTGCGCGGTAATGCAATACGGTACATAAATGAAATTTACATCCTTTTTTTTCCCCACAAATTGAGCTTTCTTTCGGTAGTATTTGATCGCCTGTGCGGTTTTTTTTTTGCGCTATAAAAAAAAAGGCTGACAATTTTGAGGAAAAAAAAAAAACAATATTTTGGACTTTTTGCTATAAAAACATGTGCAGTAAAAAAAAATTTAAAAATCAAATTTAGTCATAAATTTCTGCCAAAATGCATTCTGCGACATGTCTTTGCTACAAAAAACCCCAATACGTGTAAATTAATTGGTTTACGTGAAAGTTATAGCGTTTACAAATGGTGGGAAAGATACTGGGATTTTTTTTTTTTTTTTTTTTTTTATACTAATAAGGGCGGCGATCAGCGACTTATGGTGGCGATCAGTAACTTATGGCGGGACTGCGGCAGACATTCTGACGCTGGGGGGGAACTGACTTGGGGTCACTGACATCCCCAGTGATACCAATACAGTGATCAGTGCAAAAAAAAAAAAAACACTGACACTGTACTAATGGCACTGGGGAGGAAGGGGTTAACTTTATTATTCAGTGAAAGGGTTAACTGTGTGAGGGGAGTGTTTTACTAGGGGGCGGGGGGTGTGTACTGCAGGGAACACAACTGATCGGGACAGATAAACTCTTCTGTCCCTATCAGCGTGTCAGGAGCTGTCAGGGAACTGACAGAAAGCACAGCTACTGCAGCTGTGCTCTCTGTCACTGATTGCCGCTAATCGCTGGGACATAGTCGGTAACAACCAGCTGTGACCCGGCGACTGACATCCGCGGCCATGATCGGCGGGACAGGTAGGGCGGCGGCGCGCCTCGTGTGCACCCCCTACCTCTTTTAAGAACACACGTTTTAAAACGTACTTTTGCCCAGCCGTGCCGCCCTGCCGCCGTATTTCTACAGTGGCTGGGCAGCATGTGGTTAAGCTGTCTGGCTATCCATCTTTAAAGTAAAGCTAAGCTATTGGGATATTTTGTCATACTGGGTTCCTTTATGTATTGAAATATGCAGATTCCCGTTGTTGACTTGATTTTACAGAAGCAGGCTGTGGGGGGGTGAAAGGTTTAACGTTGCTTGAATGTGTTGCTGCCATGATCTCTATAGTACTCAAGAACTAATCAAAGGCTCATTCATTAATTCATTAGTTTCTCCCTTTCCTCCATTGGATAGATAATTGTATCTACCCACACTTTTTCTTTGACCAGTCACAGTGATTTAGAGGTACAGAGCCAAATTGATCAGCTCTGTATAGAGGGCCTGTGCACAGAGGTGCTTGAGCATGGGGAGAAGTTCCCCGTACTAGCTGTCACTTTTTGAAAACAGCAAGGCCTTGCTGGGCTCTGCCCCCAAAAGGGTGCTTCATTCATTCACAGCCTTTGTGGCTGCAGGCTTGTAGATCTAAATGAACTACCACGGTGCTGTTGAGCGCCGTGGTAGTTCATTTAGCGTTCCTGTCAGACTGTATATGCCTGCCCGTACGAGGTGTATGGGCACACAGATACACTGACAGGTTTGCAGGAGTTCTGCATGGCACCAGCAAACTAATGACCGCTGGTGCAATGCTTTCCAGGCTCAAAAAAAATTGGTAATGCAGTTTTTTACCTGCAAAAAATGGGCATTTATTATTTTTGTTAAAAAAAGAACGTATCTTTTAATGACCTAATGTGAGCTGACAATACACAGCATCCATGTGGCATTAGTTAAACCTGATCATTGTCTACTCCCTCTACCACAAAGATCGCTGTATTAATTAAGCAATGTTAGTGAAGCGATTTCTTCTGCTCTGCCTTTGTGTTCTGACAGAGGGACATCCCCCCCACACTAATCAGCCCTCGTTGCCAATGGCTGCGTGTGCTGATCGGATGCTTGTTTTCCTGCATGTCATTTTGATAAAAACCGATCCTTAGACCAGTTTCCTTCGGAAGGACAGATGAACGCATGATCCGAAAATATTCGGAATGTGTGCACCCAGCTTTAATCACATTTATCGGAAAAAAAAAAAAAATCGGTCACATGCTGGTAATTACATGGTGTGAATTTCACCTGTTTCCTGATATACTAGATGAAATTCTCTCAGTGGGTGGCCCTGTCAGCTGCCTTCCACCTAACATCAAAGGAGTTAGGCAGAAAGTTGCTGGCCAAACAGTGTCTGAATCCAATCAGATACAGGCACTGTTCGAATACAGCAGGGCCGGCTGTCAAAATACAATAAGCGCAGCACAGATTTGTCTATTTGCACTATGTAGCAGAGATGGAGAAATAAGCAGGCTGAGTGAGAAAAATCTATATATGTATGGCTAGATTTAGGATGTTAATCACTAGTACAGAAGGATGTTAAGGCCTAGTATACACAATGAGAATATTGGACAAATGATTGTACGTTTTTCTTTATGCATGCTAGTCTCGAATTGAAACTGAAGAGATTACTAAAGTTACGAAAATTCTCATAAGACAGAATACATTAATGTATTTTATTGTATTGTAATGTACTGTTTCGTTTTGGAGCCTGCGCAGTCTTGGCCACTCGATTTTTTACAGACAGTGACTGTACTGATTAAATGAAAATTCTTACTTCTATGTTATCGTACAAGAAAAATGTTCATGCTTGTTCTTTCCGATATTTTTACATAAACTGTCAGGATCGGCTCTTGAAAGCTGTGTGCTAATGATCAGATTATCGGATGATTGTTCCAAAAGCGGAACTTTTCATCCGATATTCTCAGCCTGTGTATGGGGTTTAAGGCATGGAGAATGGAGTTTGTTTCACCCACTCCTAGTGGATTTTCCATAGGAATTTATTCCAAATAAAGAATGACTTAATGTGTCACCAGGGGCGGACTGACCATTTGGAAACTCGGGCACTGCCCGAGGGCCCGGGGTCAGTAGAGGGCCTATGAGATGCCCCTGGTACCTTTTTCATAGGCTTTTTTGAGTTTGGGCAAGGACACAGGGGGCCCCATGATCCCCTATTGCCCGGGGGCCCCATGAGTTGTCAGTCCGCCCCTGTGTGTCACTAAACCCAGGACCCTGCATTCACTATATCTGGTCTCCCACAGTACACGGAACATGGAAATGCAATTATTTTAGTAAGTATAAACTGCTAAATACCTTATCTCATCAGCAGCTAGAGCAGTCTTGTCACTTCTATCAGTGTTCAGCAGAGCACTGGTTAAAGCTTTTAGGAGGAGTTTTCTTTCTGCTCTAGGAGGATGCAAAACCCCTGACCTCTGTCTGGACAGTGCTGATTGGCCCTGTGGTGATCACATGCACTCTCCCAAGAAAAGAAAACTTCTCTAGCAATACACACTAAACTGAGCAAGTGCAGAATGGCTACGGTTCAGTCTGTCTTATCAGGAGATAAGATGTGGACATTTGAACAAGAGGAGGAGCAGAGAAGTCAGGATTAAATGTCCTTTTTACACAATGCAGAGGATTAACCCCTTAGGTTCCACAGTGAGTATAACAAGCATGCTTTACTGCATATACAGACTGATTTTACTGTTGTGGGGTTTAGTAACGCTTTAATGACTGCACTTTCACCAAAATCATGCCTATAAATAGAGAAGATCTTTTCTGAAGACATAATAACAATAAATGTCCAATTCTATATTTATTGGCTTCTATCTGCTCCCTACCGGAGTTTTAGACTGCTCTCTGATGTGAGCTTGTTCGTATTGTAATTCTGTAAGCTTAATATATCAAGATATAATCCAAGGCTCAGGTAGATAGTCCTCTGTATTGTCTCATTAGCTTGTTTAGCGTGACATGTAATTCAGCATTCTCCTTTTGTGACCAGGTGTGGGATGACTGAATTTACAGAAGATGTGATCCAACATTAAAAGATTACTCATTTGGTACCATTGTACATAGCTCTTAAAAGTCAAACAACATCAAATCCTGGCTGGAAAAACAAACACTCTTGGATTGTCCCAAGATGTGATACATAATATTTATGTACACACTGTACAGCATTACTACTTAAATACTTATACTTATTTACATATTTGAATACCACTTACAATAAGGTTATAATCAGTACTACCTTCTAGAAAATCTGTTGCTGCTAGGTGCCCTGGAATATTCTAACCCCAGTGTTACTTGCAAAGTACTAGTTCCTATATTCAGCAAGTCAGTTCTAAATAACACTGCCAGTTCATCCCTTTGGGGTCGAACAACCCTTTCACAGGGGTCGCCAAAGACCATCGGAAAACACATATTTCCGATGGTCTCAGGAACGGAGACACCGCTTCTCTATCCGTCTCCAGGCGGGTCCGCCCACATGCAGATACGCCCACCTACGAATACCCTGCGTGATGACATCATCGCACCAACCCCATCACATACACTCCGTACAAATACAGGTGTATGTGACAAGGTTGGCGCCATAATGTACTTATGTGGACCAGTCACATGTGTAAAGAGTAGCTACTGTGTAGAAAGCAGCTGCTGCTGTGTTGAAAGCAGCTACTCTTAAAAGCAGTACTGTGTTGAAATAATAGTAGAAAAATTACAGCATCTTTATGAAGTTCCTGGGCCACCCTGTACTCATGTATTTTTTCAGTACTAATTTAATACAATACCTTATTAGTATGTATTAGTATTATTATTGTTATTATTATACAGGATTTATATAGCGCCAACAGTTTGCTCAGCACTTTACAATATAACGGGAGACAATACAGCAGCAATACAGTTCAATACAAGAGGTATTTAAAGTGATTGTAAACCCTCACCTCGTAAAACAACCCATTCAGTTTAAAATAGAAATAAAAGGCAAAACATTTGTGTATAGGTATAAAAAACATTGTATACACCTTTTCCCCCTCTTTTACAAGTGATTACATACTCTTTGTTTTCCGCTGCATAAGAGCTGGGGGGGCACACTTGTTCTCCCAGGGAATGGCTGTGCAGGGGGGGGGGGGGGGTATCAGCAGAAGTCTGATCATGGAGGACAGCAGACTGAATTCCCAGCATAGCTAGAGAACTGACCACACTATGTTCTCCTGCATAGTGTGGTCAGTTTTTAATAGGAACGCAGAGAGACTGGCAGGAACAACAGGAATTTCACATAAAGGAAGTTATACAAACACAACAGGATACTTTTTCATACATGTATATGGTACAGCAGGCACATATCAGGAATATGAATTGTTGGGTTTACATATTCTTTAATTTTTTTCTTAAATTCTTTAACATTATTTAAAGTAATGCTGCATTGTACCTAAAGGTGCTTAGTTTGCAGATATTTATTTAATTCTTAAGTGTAAAGTGAAGTGAAGGATAATTGTGTGAGGGCAAATTAAAAACAATAGCTTCCTCTTAACTTAAGTGAACACATTTCTAATGCACAGTTTTACCTCTCTGCACCTCTCTTCAAAGTTAGGAACATCAAGCCCATTTTATCTAAAATTTGAGAATGTGAAGCGATTTAAATTTGGTTACTGTATATTTTAGCAAGTGGTGTATAACTTTTATTGTTGTGTTGGTGATTTCAGTCAAGACAGACACTAACATTTTCTTATAAAATGGCAGTAGAAATTTAAGGACTGCATTTCATTTATTTATTTGTTTTTTAATGTTTGATATTGTAAATATTTTTTATATTGTAAATATATTTTATTTTGTATACATATTGTATTAATTTTTTATACATATAATAATATATGACTTTTTCTAAAACATGTCTCTGACAGTCTCTGGATATGTCATTGACAAGTTATTATGACAGAAACATGTTCAAAAAAGTGCATGGAGTGGGAGGTCATGCCTTGTAATATTATATAACCCAGCTACGAAGAATATACTGCTTGCTTTCTTACTATCAAAAAGTTAACATTTAGGCCCCTTTCACACGAAAAACTAACAGGCGGACCTGATCAGATCCTCCATTCACTGCAATGGACTAGCGGGATGTGTCTGTCTACACCTGCCAACCTCTAATTTGATCCAGTCTGCTAAAAAAAAAAAAAAAAAAAAAAAAAAGGAAGGGGATGCGCCACCCTCTGTCTCGGCAGATCAGAGGATAGTTGGGTGTAAGGGGACAGTGGAGTTCGTTTACACCCGCTGGTCCATAGAGCAGAGCGGGCTCTGTCCGAGTCCACTCTAGATAAACTGAGCGGACATGGGCCTGTCATTTACCTTCTACCTGCTCTGCTCTGATCAGCAGTGGATCACATAATTAAGTGTTCTTGCATGGCAAGACCACTTACTGTTATCTCACATATATATTCTTATTATTATAGCCAAATTTACCACCCTAACTCCTTCCACAGTTTTTACACTACATAGACAGTAATATACCGAAATGTGCGGATTGTTCCTGATTCGTGTGCTATTACTTTGTGGAACAATTTGCCGAATGGTTCATGAAATATCGGCGTTTTTGTGGTGAAATTGGTCCCATATTAATGAATGGTGGAATGTTCAAAACTAGAGTGGGAGCTGACAAAAGCTAGAGTGTGAGCTGAAAAATCAGGACATGATTTCTAAACTGCCATCACTCCCTCAGTTTCAAGCCCACCTACACAAATCTTATATCAAAACGGTCAGCTATCCCTGCTGCCACTAAAAATGTCCACGGCTAAGCCATAGTCCTGATAATTTTCACAATATGACCATTTGTTTGCAAATCACGCCGCCCATTGACCTTTTCACAGTTACTCCAGCCACTCCAACCACACAACAGTTACTCAAGCCATTCCACCCAGTTACTCCGCCCACTCCAGTTGTAGACTACTGGTGGAGGCAAGAACACTTCACACAATTTCCCCAGAAATTGTAGCTTTTCTAGTTCTTTGCTGCTCTTTCTCTTCTCTATGTTGCACACAGAGACACACACTAGAAAGGTTGAGTCAATTTTTCATCATTTTAACTGGTTGCTGGTGTGATTTCTATATTGCCAGCACCTGTTAATTGATACAGGTGAGTTTAATGACAAATTACAGGAGCATGACAAAATTGGAATGCAATTATTTCTTACAATTTTGAGAAGGTGCCAATAATTTTGTTGAGTCCATTTTTGGAATTTTGTGTGGATTGTGTCAGATTTGGCTTTTTGCTTCTCCACTTTTTTGTGTCATACCAACACAAACAAAAGAAATAAACATGAGAATGCCTAAGGCTCCATGTACACAAGCCTACCCTGACCGCCAGCCACGGGAAAATGCAAATCGTGGTAACCGTGGTACCGCAACATTGCTGCGGTTTTGCCACGTTTTTTGGTTTCCCATGGTCGCTGGTCAAAATGTTCCTATTCTGAACACAATTCTTCCGCGTTCAGGAGAGGGAGGTTTAACCTCTCCTAAACGCAGCAGCTCCTAAACTCTGCTAAAAGCCTATGTGCACATGCTTGAGTTTAGGAGCTGCTTGTGTACATGATGCCTAATGTGTTTTGCCGTGATTTGCGTTTTCCCGCAGCTGGCGGTCAGGGTAGGCTCGTGTTCATGGCTAAGTGTGCTGGTTACATTTTTGTTTTGTTTATTCTGTATAAAGCCCTTCTATGTGCATCTTATACTAAAAAGTGACCTCAGTTTTTGTTAATTTGCATTACATAAAAATACATAAGGTGTTTAAAATAGCCTTTATTTCATTTGTAAAAAAAAAAAAAATAATTCTAATGTTATTCTAAACAGAAGAAATTACAGAACACAACTTTAACTTTTCATCTACAGTAACACTATTTATTCTAAAGCTAACACTTTTCAAACAATATATACAGTTGCAAGAAAAAGTATGTGACCCCCTTGGGATTACGTGGAGTTTTGCATGAATGGGCATAAAATGTGCTCTGAAGGTCATCTAAGTCACAACAATAGAAGAACACAGTCTGCTGAACATAATACTACACAAACATTAGATGTTGCCATGGTTTAATTGCACATAACATGTAAACATTCACAGTGCAGGGAGGAAAAAGTATGTGAGGCCCTAGCTTAATGACTTCTCCCAGAGCTAATTGGAGCCAGGAGTGAGCCAACCTTGACTCCAATCAGTGTGATGATATTGGAGGTGTTGCTGACAGCTGTCCTGTCCTTAAAAAACACACACCTGTTTTGGGTTTACTGGTTTCAAGAAGCACTGTCTGATGTGAACCATGCCTCGCAGAAAAGAGCTCTCAGAAGACCTACGATCAAGAATTGTTGACTTGCATGAAGCTGGAAAGGGTTACAAAAGTATCTCCAAAAGCCTTGATGTTCATGTGTCCACGGTAAGACAGACTGTCTACAAATGGAGAAAGTTTAGCACTGTTGCGATTCACACCAGACATCCCAAGAATATTGCTACACTGAAACAGTTTTGTGAAGAGGAGTGGTCCAAAATTACTCCAGACCGTTGTGCAGGTCTGATCTGCAACTACAGGAAACATTTGGTTGAGGTTATTGCTGCCAAAGGAGGGTCAACCAGTTATTAAGTCCAAAGGTTCACATACTTTTTCCTCCCTGCACTGTGAATGTTTACATGTTATGTGCAATTAAACCATGGCAACATCTAATGTTTGTGTAGTATTATGTTCAGCAGACTGTGTTCTTCTATTGTTGTGACTTAGATGACATTCAGAGCACATTTTATGCCCAATTCATGCAAAACTCCACGTAATCCCAAGGGGTTCACATACTTTTTCTTGCAACTATATATATATATATATATAATTTATTTTTTCCATTTTTTTTTCCAATTTTGCAAGACAATAATGTCAAAGGAAAAAAAAATGATATATGTTTTACATGGGTATCATAAGCATTAAGGTTTTTGCTGAATCAGCAGGCATCAATAAAACATTGTTCTGGTCTACAGAATGAGAGGTATGCAGGTGAGAGAACTGAAGTGGTTAAGAAAAGACATAAAAAAATTACAGAAAGATTACCTCTGTACCTATTAACATCTACTCCAGGGCCTAAGAGAGAGCTGTCAAATACTCCCAGGTGTTAAGTGAACATCAAGAATATGGCATATCATTTAATTTCAGACGTCTGACAATAAACTGAGATCAGATCAAACCCCTGGTCCCCACATCTCTCCGATCAGATGTGAGGGCCTGTTGGCTGCTTGCTAAGCACATTTCCATAGACATGTTTAGGCTTAGTAGATGTGCAAAGTTATGTGATACAAATATGTAATTTTGCTTAGTGATTATCTATCTTTACAGACCAAATGCTGATAATGATTAAAAAATTTATAGTTCCAGAGAAACCAAAAATTATTAATACATCTCACATATCCCAGGCTTTTGGGCATGTTTGTACACCTTTTAAATCTCTCAAGGCAACCAAATTTTAGCATGACTTAAATCAAGGTATGTGAGTTTTAAGACATTAATGAGAAACTAAAATAAAATCATCAAAGACAACCTTTTAAAGCACCGTTATAATACTTCCCCGTATTGACTCTGTTGCATTCAATCTACAGCTACCACTGGAATGTTCTGCATCTGACACCTCTAGGTTTGACTGATGTCTGTATCTCCAAGCCACATGTTGTGTTTCACCCAATCTTTTGCAAAATATTTTGGCAAATCTTTTCCAAAGGGCCACACTAGTGATGTAGCAGCTGCAGGAAAGGGGACACAGTGTCTCTACTTTTTTAGCAACAGTGTCTTTCTAATTTGTAAGGAATTGCAAGTGATTTAATTTGTTTTGTTTTGAGTGTTGCAATATTTTTCCTTTTGTAGCGCTACCCCTGAAGGAACAACTGAAATGTTTTGTGATCTCCTCCAGCCCTTACCGACATACCTTGATATATTTCAAAGAATTTATTAGGCCAAGCACAGCCTAAATGAAGAGCAGATTAGCAAGTGTACAAATAATCAAACAGACAATAACTTTTGTGGTGGTTAAAACACCTGCAGTATTCAGACTATCAATAATTAACAGAACCAAATTGCTTTAACAACAGTATAAAAAGACAGTCTCCATTTTATCCCTCTGGTCAGTAAATGATGCAAAAGGAAAAGAAAAAAGCCACACAAATTTGGGGCTGTTGAAGAGAGCGCAACAGTTCCCAGCAGACAGCATATTGACTTGTGCAACATTTGTCTCTTACCAGACCCAGGGCGCCCTGTTCTGGGTATCCGAACATGTGCTTAGATCCAGTTCAAGTTTCCAGACAGAAATAGAAGTTGATGTGATTTTTATCTTTCATTTTTGCTAGCACAGTACCTCTTTTCCTCCCTTACAGTCGGTGGGAGTGCTCAGTCTGATCTTACCAGGCATCCAAATCACACCTCAGACCCTCCCAGGGAGAAAGTTCCCACCTCTGAGGCAAGGTCCTGTCTCTTTGAGCTCTCACCCACTTGTGGTCATCTATGGAAATGTTCCATTCAGTCAGCAGTTCAGTCTCTTTCTCACTCACAGCATCTGCTTTAAGACTATCCTCTTTCTTCCTCTTAGCAGTCTTCAGACACTCCTCTCCTTGCTTTGTTGAAGCAGCCAATCGCTGTCCTTCCAAGATTGACCCAGATCAAGCCAAGATGACTGCCCCTTGCACTGGAGACACTCCATAGACGAACATTGCAAAGTGTTCTCCTTAAAGATGACTGCTGCACTTCTGCATTAATGAATAGTCAGTTTAACCCTGTCCACACTGCAGAAGGATAATACAGCAGCAAGGAAATTCCACAGCCATTATCAGCTACAGTCCAGATTGCAACTCCAATCATTCTACTCCCATTTTTCACTTCTTTCAAAACCACTTTCTACTTTAAATATTTATAAGCTGAAAAAAATTGCAAGGTGAAAAGAAAAATAATTTCTCCATTAGAGGATGCAGCTATAGTGATAAACTTAAAAATATGAATGATAACTCAAAAATTGTATTTGTAATGATGTATACAGTGGACCTTTTTAAAAAGAAAGAAATGAAAGAAAAAGGCCATAGCCTGAAGTCCAGTTTCATATGTGCTCAAAAGGCTGACCATACCTTTGCAATAATTAAAGTGTTACTAAACCCACAACAGTAAAATCAGTCTGTATATGCAGTAAAGCATGCTTGTTATACTCACTGTGAAACCTAAGGGGTTAATATTCTGCATTGTGTACGAAGGCTGTTTGACCCTGTCTTCTCCAATCCTCCCCTTCTGTCCCCAATCTATCTGTTGATAGTACAGAGTTCTAGGAGCCACTATGCACATGCTCAGTCTAGTGTATATTGCTAGAGAGTTTTTTTTCTTTGGGAGGATGCATGTGATCACCACAGGGCCAACCGATGCTGTCCAGACAAAGGGTCAGGGGTTATGCCGCCTTATAGGACAGTGTTTTTTATTAAGTTAACAATTAGTACAGCCATCAAGACAGTAACAAAAAATAAACACCCACGGCGAAATTACAGCAGACAATCAGGGAAAAATCCATAATATAGTCAGCAACAAACATTGCCTCGCCTAACATGCACAGCTAAAGTTTACCAGAAGGAGAACAGATACTAGGACTGGTGAGGTGTAACCCACTGTAGGATTTTCAAAGACACAGTGATGGTCCACGGCTTACCATCCCTCCCTGCATAGAAATAACATTTCAGGAAAACAACCCACATAATAATACCATAAGTGAAACATAAAAAATAACCAAAAATATTTGTATACAGATACAGAGTAAATCAGTTTGACCCATGGAAAACCCTGAGTGGCAAGGTACACAGTGTCCAGAAAACCTGGTTATACCTAACACAGACAGTGACTAATACAGGGCTCAGAACAAAACCTAATCAGAAACGGTGTAGGAGGAAGGAGTCCATCCATCCCATACCTTGTCAAACGTGGCAAAGGCCCCTCTACTTAGATAGGCAGCATTATAAAATGTAACTGCTTTATTCACCAAGGATTTCTACGTTGCTAGAGCTGGTGCAGAAGATTTCTTCCATGACAAAATAACTTCCTAGCATAGAGTAGGCAGCATGTGGATTGCTTTTGTGATGGCCAATGACTCAACCAGACTCAGCAGGCAGACTTCAATTGCAGATAGTACAGAAATAGAAGTAGCAGGTGATACAAGTCACTGCCTGCCAGAAGGGCTTAATGCTGGCACTGCCAAAAAATATGAATGAAGTCTGCTGCAAGTGCTGAACATCTCCAGCATAGAGAAGACTGGCCAATATATATCCTAGCAAGCCTAGCAGGGGTGAAGTATATCCTATGCAGAAATTTAAAATGTATCAGATGGTCTCTAGTGGAGATCAGACAGCTGAAAGGGGCCTCCCGAATATCATCCCAATCATCCCAGTCTAAAGCAGGAGCCACAGAGTCCCAGGCTGATTTTCATGGACTGAGCAATTTGGTCGTTTCCAGCAAAAGGTCCTTGTAGATAGTGAACAGTTTTAGTTAATGATTCATCCCAGACCAAGGATTCCAGATCACCAGATTCGAGGATGACAGGACTAGATCCAAACTGAGTTCGAAAGGCATGCCTTATTTGGATGTATCTAAAAAAAATGAGTGTTGGCTAATTGGTAACGTCCCTCATCAAAGGACATCAGGGAACTCCAACAAACAATGTGTTATAACATCTTCACTCCATAACTAGTCCACACTACTGGGTCTCGGTAGACATAAAACTGGGTACATTTTGGGTTCCTTCATAATGGGATATGGGGGAACAATACTGTAGATCAGTGCTGGATGATGTTTTTCCATGCACCACACATGCCATGTTTTAAGAACTGAGCACATAGAGGAGGTAAGACAGTAGTAGGCTATAGGGCCTCTATAAACTAGGTGACCTAGGGCCTCATAAGATCCCCAGGCCATCTATTGATTTAAAGAATGATTTGGGGATCCACACTGGGGAATCTCTAAACACATAAATAAAGAGGCAGAATTTTTGTTTTAATCAGATTAATTTTCCCAATTAGTAACAAAGGGAGATTCTTTCAGGTAGCCAATTTGTTTTTAAGGTGAAAAAGAAGAGGGGAAACATTTAGAAAAATGTAGTCAGCCAATGAATTTGAGATCACCATGCCCAGGTAGGAAGGAAGGAGGGAAAGAGAGTGAAAGAAGGAGGGAGGAAAAGAAAGAAGGAGGGGAAGAAGGGAGAGAAGTAAGGAGGGAAAGAAAGAGGGAAAGAAGGAAGGAGAGAAAGAAAGAGAAAGAAAGAGGGAAGGAAGTAGGGAAAGAAGGAAGGATGGAGAGAAGGAAGGAGGGGAAGAAAGAGTGAAAGAAGGAAGAAGTGAAAGAAGGAAGGAGGGAAGATGCAAGGAGGGAAAGAAGTAAGGAGGGAAAGAAAGAGGGAAATAAGGAAGGAGGGAAAGAAAGAATGAGGGAAGAAAGAAGCAGGGAAAGAAGGAAGGATGGAGAGAAGGAAGGAGGGGAAGAAAGAGTGAAAGAAGGAAGGAGTGAAAGAAGGAAGGAGTGAAAGAAGGAAGGAGTGAAAGATGCAAGGAGAGAAAGAAAGAGGGAAATAAGGAAGGAGGGAAAGAAAGAAGAGGGAAAGAAAGAGGGAAAGAAAGAATGAGGGAAAGAAGGAAGGAGGGGAAGAAGAAAGGAGGGAAAGAAAGAAAGAAGGATATAGGGAGGGAAAGAAGCAAGGAGGGAAAGAAAGCGGGAAAGAAGCAAGGAGGGAAAAAAGAGGGAAAGAAAGGAAGGAAAGAAGGAAGGAGGGAAAGAAAGAGTGAAAGAAGGAAGGAGGGAAAGAAGGAAAGATCGAAATAAAGAGGGAAAGAAGGAAGGAGGGAGAGAAGCAAGGAGGGAAAGGAAGAGGGAAAGAAGGAAGGAGGGAGAAAAGCAAGGAGGGGAAGAAAGAGGGAAAGAAGGAAGGAGGGAACGAAAGAAGGAAGGAGGAAAAGAAGGGAAAGATGGGAGGAAATAAAGAAGGAGGAAAAGAAGGAAGGAGGGAAAGAAGGAAGGAGGGGAAAATAAAGGAGGGAAAGAAAGAGGGAAAGAAGGAAGGAGGCAAAGAAAGAAGGAGGGAATAAGGAATGAGGGAAAGAAAGAAGGAAGGAAAGAAGGAAGGAGGGAAGACAGAAGTGGAGAAAAAGGGAGGGAAAGAAGGAAAGATGGAAATAAAGATGGAAAGATGGAAGGAGGAAAAGAAGCAAGGAGCGAAAGAAAGGAGGAAGAAATTAAGACGGGAAAGAAAGAGGGAAAGAAGGAAGGAGGTAAAGAAGGAAGGAGGGAAAAAAGGAAGGAGGGAAAAAAGGAAGGAGGGAAAGGAAGAAGGAGGGAAAGGAAGAAGGAGGGAAAAAAGGAAGGAGGAAAAAAGGAAGGAGAGAGAGAAAGAGGGAAAGAAGGAAGGAGGGAAAGAAAGAAGGAAGGAGAGAAGGAAGGAGGGAAGAAAGAGTGAAAGAAAGAAGAAGTGAAAGAAGGCAGGAAGGAAGGAGGGAAGACGCAAGGAGGGAAAGAAAGAAGGAAAGAAGGTAGGAGGGAAACAAAGAGGGAAAGAAGGAAAGAAGGCAGGAGGAAAAGAAGAATAGAAGAAAGGAGAGAAAGAAGAAAGAAGGGAAAGAAGGAAGTAGGGAAAAAAGGAAAGAAGGAAGTAGAGAAAGAAAGAGGAAGGGAAAGAAGGAAGTAGGTAAAGAAAGAGGAAGGGAAAAAAGGAAGGAGGGAAAGAAAGAGGGAAAGAAGGAAGTAGGGAAAGAAGAAATGAGGTAAAGAAAGATAGAAAAAAGGAAGGAGGGAAAGAAAGAGGGAAAGAAGGAAGGAGGGAAAAAAAGAGGGAAGGAGGGAAAGAAGAAAAGAGGGAAAGAAGGAAGGAGGGAAAGAAAGAGGGAAAGAAGGAAGGAGGGAAATAACTAAGGAAAGAGGGAAATAAAGAGGGAAAGAAGGAAGGAGGGAAAGAAAGAAGTAGGGAAAAAAGAAAAGAAGGAAGTAGGGAAAGAAAGAAGGGAGGAGGGAAAAAGGAAGGAGGGAAAGAAGGAAGGAGTGAAAGAAGGAAAGAGGGAAAGAAGGAAGGAGGAAGGAAGGAGGGAAAGATTGAAAGAAGGAGGGAAAGAAGGAAGGACAGAAAAAAAAGAAAGAGAGAGAAAGAAAGGAAGGAGGGAAACAGGAGATAGGGAGAGAGAAAGAGAGAAGGAAAGAAAAGAAGAAGGGACAAAAAGAAGGAAAGAGAAAGAAAGGAGAGAGAAAGGAGAGAAACCGGAGAGAGAGAAAGAAAGAAAGATAAAGAAAGGGGGGAAGCAGACACAAGGTTGGTGGGGAGTGTGGGCGAGGCAAAGGAGGAGAGAACTGAAGGAAAGGGGCAGAATCAGCTTTCTCTCTCCTCTCACACCTGTGGTGGGGGGGGACTGTCAGCACTGGGGACAAAATATGCCAAAAGATCCCCCGCAGTATTGCAGGAAATGGGGGGGCCAAGGGGGGAGCATACAGGAGCCCACGGCATGCAGAGGATGGATAGGAGAGGCGGCCAGGTAGCACATAGAGGAACTGAGAAATGCATGGCCGCCTCTCCTATCTAGGCAGTCCTGGCCCACCGGGCAAATGCCCGGTGTGTCCTATGGCCAATCCGGGCCTGCCTGCAGCTGCAGGCATCATCCTAGTATAGTTTTTTTCAGCCGGTGGTCGTCTTTCATGTAAAAGCAATCTTAGCAGCTAATTAACCACTGGATTGCTTTTACAAGCAGTGGGAGGGAATGGCCCCCTCCCGCTGCCTTCCACTGCTTTCTTGGGCTGTCCCATCCCATCAGGGAACCTGAGAATACAGTTGGCATTTCAGCCAGCTGACCATAGAGCTGACCGGAGACCAGAAGTGTTCCATTATGGTCTAAGAAACCAGAAGCTATGAGCATTTCATCACTTCGGTTTCGCTGGATATAAACAATGCCATTTTTAAATTGGGAAAGCATGTGATCACACCAATGTTGGTGTGATCACATGATTTAAGGGCAGAAAAGATAGAGTCTAATAGACCCCCAAATTTCTCAGAAAAGAATACCCATCACTGCCTATTGCTATCACAGGGGATATTTACATTCCCTGTGATAACAATAAACGTGATAAAAAAAAATTAAAGGGGTAATAATTAAATAAATAAATAAAAAATATATATTAAAAAAAAAGAACCTCATTCTCCCCCGCGCTCGCGTGCAACGGTGTATGCAAGCGTCGGC